AAGAAGAAGAAGAAGAAGAAGAAGAAGAAGAAGAAGAAGAAGAAGAAGAAGAAGAAGAAGAAAAGACAAATAATATGCAAAGCAGAATCTACTTATAGTCAAAGGTCAAAAAAAAAAATAAGCACTGTAACTTAGTAACCAAAATATAACTCTTTTTGCTAGCTTTACTTTGTTTCCTTTTTCCTATCCTCTAAGCTGTTCTGCTCCAAACCAAAATACAAACTTGATTTCCTCTAACCTGGATTAAACTAATCTGCCAGTCCTCCGGACCTGTGTGTTCAGTCAATTTCTATGGCTCTATTCATTCAAATGGTCAGAGTTTATGTCCCATTGTCCGAGAACATGTATGTTTCTGTGGAGATCAAACAAGAGGTCCAATGACACGTCCACAAATGTATTTTCAATTTTTATTTAGAAATAATAAAATAAGACATAATATATAAAAAATATATACAACCCATGGTTTGTGCAGTACAATAGGAAGACTTTAGATACAAAAAGATGGCAAATGGGAAAATAATAACTATCGCGATTGTCAAAGGCTAGGATCGTTCAACTCGCCAGAGCCCAGAGCTGAGACCTAACATTCCTAGGAAAGAAACTCTAGTTTGCTGAAGGTTGTGGGAGGGGATGTGACAATGCAACACTTTTATACTTTCCACCTTAACATCATTGAACAGAGTGATAAAGAGTTCAACCCACCCCTCGAGATGAGCTCTTTGCTTTTATGGGTAGCTGATTATAAGTTAAAAGCTGACGTTTGTTATCTGCAAGGGGAACATCTTTGGGGAACCGAGGTCATCAGAGACACATCATGATTTGGGGAGGGGAATATATAGGGAGAGAGGAAGTGAAAGAAAAGGAATAATGCATTTACAGAACAGAAACAGAGTCAAACAAACTTCTCTAGGGATTTAGAAATGACTACAGTGCTATATGACATTCTAAAAATGTCTGATTCAAGTATACTCTTAGAGGGATAGAAAACTATTCCTTTCTCAATAATCAAAATAGAATTCAGTTTGTCTACCTTTTATTTAAAAATAGAATAGCCAGGAATCTATGCCTCCCCCCTCCAAAAAAAAATATAATGCCCATTCAGATACGGGCAAACATTCTTTAAAAGGGAATACATCCTAGAGGGATTTGCTTGCAGCACAGAAGCAACTGGCATCTGGGGATGAACCCCAGATGTTCAAGGTGAGTCCCTCCATCTGCATACTAGTGGCAGGTGTGTGCACTAGTTCTGGAGGCCCAGTCAATAAAGACAGATAGTCTGAAGGTAAAAATGCAGGAAGAGATGCCATGCATTACCTATGTCTTGGCTCTTGGCAGAACAAAACAAAAAGCCATTTAAAGCTTGTAACTATTAAGATGCTAATAACTACAAAAAGCTCTCAAAAGAACAGTCCATGCTGAAATAAATAACAGAAGAACATACTAAGTCGAACCTCAAAAGGCTGGTAATATCTGCTAAAACCATGCTAACCGGTAGCATATAGGTACTAGCTTGCAGAATTCACTGTGGTAGTTATACCTCTTAGGGTATTTTTTATTTCCTTTACAGATTTTTTATTTACATTTGGCTTTAAATATGAAAATATCTGATAAACTTTATAAAATGTACACTTTAAAAATGTAGCTTCTGCAAAATTTTTCTTGAAAAACAAAAAGAAAAACAAACCGAACAAACAAACAAACAAACAAAAAACAAACCTATGCACCAGAAATTTTAGATGGTTTCTTCTTTTTAAAGCAAAAATAATTGAAAGATTCCCCTCCCACTTTTTTTGACTCTGTACCCGCCCCCCCCCCTTTTCAAATAACTCAAGTCTTTTTAAGTGGTAGCGCTATGTGTTTGGGGTCAGTCCAGGTTGTCACCCCCACTCTCTACTGAATCTTCATTTGATTGACTGTCCACTGAATACTCTTTGGTTTGATTTCTTTCCTTTGCAAATCACCGTAATAGCAGCATCTGAAGCCTTCCATAGCCTCCTACTGTCAGAAGCCAGTCTGTTTTCTCTCCTGTGACTTCTCCCTGTCCCCAATCCCACCAACTCTTTAAGCGACTTGCAACCCTACCTTTAAACCCGGATATCCAATAACAACCACTTTCTCAACATGTCTCTCTTGATTTCCATAATACCAACAGTTTTCAAATCCATTGACTTAGAAAGTTGAAGACAGCAGAAACTGCCATTGTTTCTTGCAGGCACTGCATCCAGACACAGAGGCTCACCAGCCACAGACCCAGCACAAACATCAACTGAAATAAAATACATGGTTCTAGAACAAGCTGATTTTTAATGGCATATTAGGGTGTAATACCATTAGAGAGTTGATTTTGAGAAGCCAACTAAAAAGGAAAATTATCAGCCCTAGGGTTTACGAGTAGAGAACAGTAAAACCAAGAGGAAGGAAGAGAGGGAGAATTGCAGCATTGAGCTAGACTGAGGGAGGGGAGAGAGCTTTTTATAAAACCAGGTGAATAGGTAAAAAAGGCTTCTAGAAAATAACGTGTCCTTGGCAACCTGCTCTGAGACTTTCCAAGAGACAATGACCAGCTCACATTAATCATGAGCGTTTACAGAGAGAGAAATAACCCTTTAGACTCTTAACTCCTTAGCTTGTAATTGTGTTTATATGGCTCACAGAATACTGAAAGAGTCCCTCTTACCCTCTGTCATGAAAGAGGCAACTTCCCTCTCCCCCATAAAGTTGCATTGAAGTGGCTCCTGTTTTCTCTCTTTCTCTCTCTCTCTCTCTCTCTCTCTCTCTCTCTCTCTCTCTCTCTCT